ATATTAAGAGAGGATAGGAATTAGAATTGTTTTTGTTTCTAAAAAAATTGCTCTAGTCATATCTGCTTGTACATACTTCTATAATTACATGTGATTCTCTCATGCATATAAATTGAAATGTACGTGAAGACATGTTTTTTGAAGTATATATCAACGTAAGATAGTAACTTTAACTTAAAAAAAGCAAACATATGATTTTTCATCATGTATACTCTCATCATTCATGGCATTATAATTAAAAGAAATACTAAGAACAAAGTAAAATTTACCACAATAACCACAAACTATATTAATGTACATTCTCAGCATCTCTATTTTATCTTATTTTGTTATAAAATTAGAGGAAAATCTTCAAAGGAATAACTATTCTAATAAAACTAAAAATTAAAGTAATGTTTCATGAATTTATACAATTTCTCTATCTTTTTTATCAATAATATCATGCAAGTAAATTCATCAATATTTATGCATAGTGAGAGATTGAGAGAGAAAACAAAAAAAAATATTATTATTAGATTTAATGTCGCCTTTATTTATGTGACATAACTTATTTTGATAGAATTATATTTTGCAATATAAAAAATTCACACGTGGGCCTCCTCCTAACATTGTGTTTAGGCCCATCTTGAAAAAATATAAAAAAAAAAGTACAGTAATTTGAAATATGAACTCCAACATGAAATTTTATAATAACACAGGACAGAATAAGATGTACTATATTTTCCTCCATTCAAAAAATATCATATATACTAGTAAAAAATAATGAATTTTTATGATAATTATTTAAATTTAATTTTAAAATGAAACTCCTCAACCTTAACCAACACTGCTTTGTCCCCTCCATGATCCTTCTAACCCAGAATTAAGGAGGAAATTAAGAACTTGGAAAGCAACCATTGAATAATTCCACAATAATTTATGCAAAAAAGTTGTTCTAAGCTTTTAAACTATCATTTGGTCAACCTTTTGAAGATCTATAACAAAAAATTGACAAGAAAAAGCCACAACAAAAACATAAAATAACAATCATTATTGACAAAGAGAGATCAACCACCACCTTGTTTAGTTTTATCATGGTGAGATAAGTAATAGTCTCTAACTATCATTATCTTACAAAGATTATTTTACAGTGTTAAATCATTTCCTGTATATGAGTCACATGCTGCATCACAAACCAGTTTAACTATGCAATTATTGAACAATTAGTCTCATATGTATACATTATGTGTATAATAACATAACCATACAAGTACATAAAAACAAAGAAAGACTACAAAAACATCAAATCGATGAGCACTGAGAGAAGAAGGTAGATAACAAGATGTCTCATTCCAACATTCATCATGGGTCACAAAAATACAAGCAGCACCAGCAGCTGGCTTTTTATTGTTTTCTTTTGTACCAGTGGGACCGTGTGTGTGAGAATCTGTGTTCAACATCATTCAAATCCAGATAAGGATTTTCCAACATTGTGATACATTCTTTTTCCCAAACACTTTTTATTTCACTTTTTCTTTTCCAAATATAAAAACTTTCACATAATTAATTACTATCATTCAGGTTAAAAAAAAATTATCTCAGTCATTTTTATCAGTATAAACATTTCACATAAATGCAGATAACAGAAGTTTATATATAAACTCTGTTTTCACTGTTAAAACAGAACAAAATTTGAAATAACTCTTGTTTGTCCTTTTGATTATGTGCATTTGCTGGCTTGCCCTTTGTCACACATTATAATTTTGAGTGAAGCAAATGTGTTACCATGTAGTGTCTCTGCACAAGCTCCACATGACAAGACATAACTGTACTAAGATTATTGCCACCTATACTTTGTCTAAGTTTAAATTCAAATTTTGCAGATGGTGTCTCCATGGAGATTTTCAAGGTTGTTTTTTTTTCCTATAGATGTGAAAGAAACTTTGGAAAAACAAAACCCAGTTGCTTTGTTTACCTTTCAATTATTTAATGCAAAGGTTGAGTGATATATGAGAAGGGAAACCAAAAGGGTTGGTAGCTAATTTACCTTTTGTGATTTTTGACCCTTCTGTTATATATTCTACAAACTAGTCTTCTTTTGTCTTGAATGTCTCAGTGAGATACGTATTTGCTAAAATTCATGATATCATGTTGGTCACATTTAACTAACCACAAAGTTTGAAATTGAAGATAGTTTCCTCTTTGATTCATGATTTCACTCCATTTGCTTAGCCACCAGAAATGGACAGAACATGAAAATTTTGAATTAGATGATGGGGAATTGATAGGGGAAAGTTAACAGTGTAAAGCAGAAAAAAAAAGTTGTATTTAGTAGGGAAAAGGCTACACTGATTTTAGGGTTGAAGACCATAATTGAGGAATGGGCCAAGCTTACACGTCAATTTTTGTTTTCCTTGTTTGTCTAAATCCATTTCAGTTTCAATTGCACACACCTTTTCCCCATCTTTGCAATTTTTGATTTTGTAAAACCATGTTCCTTCATGAGGCGGGAAGTGCAAAACTTTCTTTCAGTAATATTGCTGTCTTGGAATAGCAGTGAAGTTTTGATATTTGAGTCAACAGTTTCTGTCTTCTTCTTTTTTCTTTCCTTTTTTACTTTGATGCTTGAATAGGCATCAATTAATTGATTTGGTATGCACACATATTGAATTACAACTACCATAATTTTGTGCTGCTAAGTTATAGAGAAGCATTGAAGTCTAAATTGCATTGCACCCTTTTTAAAATAACAGACTCTGACTTCAATTCAAATTTGTAACCAAACAAGGAAAAAAAGGTGGTGAGGGTTGAGTTACATTTATTATAGGGGCCAAATGTGAAATGCAACAAGAGTCCTGTGACTTAATTTAAAAAAAGTGATTTCAGTAACTTGTTTGAGCGTTCAGGGTACCAACTGACAGGTGTAAAATGCAGATGAAGTTCAGTTCAACAGTGAAAACTTGGAATTCATTGAAGACAGAGACTAGTTTGGGAAACAAAAATCGGTGGTGATGGTGATTAAAGTTAATTTCTGTAATCAAAGTTTAAGAAATAGCTTCAAAATCATGATATGTTATTCCAAAATCTCATTTTGATTTGTTTAAGTAGTCTCATACAGTGATGAAGTTACACATAAATTTTGAAGATTAAACAAGTGTTATTAGATAGTGTTTTCTTTTGATAATAAGACATTTTAGGCGGCAATTTTGGTGTGGAATGTTGCCAATTGTTATTTATGCAGTTTTTGGTTGATTGAGTTTAGGTACTTATCAATTCTTATTATTTAATGCATGCTCTGCAAAATTCATGACTGAAGTTAATACATTAATCTTATAGGTCTGAATTAATATTGTTCAAAGCTACTTACTGTACTTGAGAACATGCAATGAGGAATTCTTTTCACAGATATAGGTGGGGTTTTATGTTTTTCAGCTAATGCAATACTAAGTAACACTTTGGCTTTAAATGAATATTATTATTATTACTATGATTATGATGATGATGAAAGGTACAATACAAAGGTTCATATGAGGTGTGTGTGAACAATGAATGGATTGATTTTCTTTCTGTTCAGTGAACCAAATGCACCCATCAAACATTTTTCCAACAAAAACAGATCTTTTCACAATTTTTCAGATTTTTTTCTCTTTCCTATTTTTTTTTCAAAGAAATAAAGAAAAGAAAAGCTCTGGGAAAGTAAATACTGCAATAAAGTATCAAAAACTAACTGCAGATTCACCAATGGGATAGTTGTTTCCTTGGTATCTTGGTATGCTTGGGAAAGAGATATTAAGTAGAAATTTTTGTTATGAACATTAAATATTGAGAATTTGGTTTGAAGATCGAGTAATATGCCGGCAAATTTAGACTTTAGTTGGAGTGTAGGGACAAGTGGATCTTCAGTAATTAATAATTCATTCTAAGCAAACATTTGACTTTAAATGCTTTTATTATTATATCTTTTAATTTCTTTATTCATTACACACTAATTGTCTTTATCACACTCAAATCCTTGTAATTAATAAAATACTATAATGAAGAAGGACTTTTTTTAAGGGATGCAAAGGGACTAAAACTTGATCAAACAGGGTTAATTATCACCTAACTGGATCAAACACCATGTTTCTGCAAGAAAATCAGCAACCTGTTTCCTTCTCTGAAGACATTTTATAATTTTTTAGCACCTGTTGGAGGACTTGAGTTATTTTCAAATTTTAATATTGGAACTACGAATAAGTTTAAACCATATTTCAAATTTATGATTTTCTGTGTACGTAAAGAAGTAGCATTTCTTAAAAGAAGTTAACTTTTTAAAGAAACTTTAGTGTTTCGAGAGATTAACATTAGCATCTTATTAAGGGGTGTTCTAAGTTCAGAAAAAATGAATTTACTATAACATTACATTAACTGGTTTTCGATACCGACACAAACAAAACTTAGTTAGAACATGCGATGATTTATTAGGTTGTGATGCAGTGCTCAGTTTCTAGTTTTTTTTTTATTGTCAGTTTGCTTCAATTATCTGCACCTGCACTTTTTATTCAAGCTATGTGACAAAACATAATAATAAAACCTTCAATATAATAAAGAAAATATTAAACATAAGATCATATGGTGGCATAGCTAGATATTATATTATATATGCAATGATTTACGTATGACAGCAAATAACGAATTTAACCTTAATAATATCGCCCTTCCTGACCAATCTCAATCTTCATAACAGTAGAGTGCCGTAAAGACCAGGTTTCCAACTACAACTACACTACACTATTTATTATACAGTTTAACTGATATCATTACACAGGTTTAACTTTTTTCTGATATGGATGATTTATTACACAGTATATTTTCTGATATTGTTTGTATAATTTTTAACTTTAATTTTTATAAAGTTAATGAATTTATAATACTTAAGTACGAGGGTGTGTAGAATTATTTTACTTTACCATGACATTAACTGCGTTCTCAATAGTTTATTGATTTTCAAAAGTGTCTCATGAAAACAACCTTTTTAAGGTAATGTGTTTTAAAAAATAATAATGACATGATAACTTTAGAAGAAAAGAAGTACCAAAATTTTTGTTTTGATCAACTGGTTTGCGTGGAGCCATTTTTCCACTCTGACTATCTGACCCGTGTGCTTTTGAAACAGGTTTTGCTTTGCTTCTTTGGCACTCTGCAACTATTGTGTACCACCAAAGCCATTTGCTGCCATTTTTCACATCCATGATCTTTCAGTGATTTTCTTGTCTCCAAACAAATCCCTTTGAACAATACTAAGAAAAACACTCACACTGTGTTTTTTTTTGGAAGCTCAATGTTGTTTGTTGTTGTATCTACCCTTCGTCCGTAAACAAAGTCAATGCAACCATTTGACTGTCTTGTTCTTCCCATGTGGATCTGAGTCTCTTGCTTGAACCTTGCTCCCTTGGACGAAGCTTCCCTAAGCCTTCCTGGCTCTTCCTCTTCATAAATGCAACTTTTTTTTCTTATCCGTTTTTCATGAGTTTCTCATCTGGGTTTGGGATTGGTGCTGCTCATTATGATGAACAGTTGAAACAAAATCAAGGGTAAGTTGTAAGTGTTGCATGAAACCGTGAACTCTTACTTCTTTTTGGATTAAATGGTTGGCGGTTTAGCTTCTTTACTGTGAGTTTCTGAGAATGTTGAATGTTTGGTTCAATCATCAACTCTGAGGAGAAACAAAAGAAAAGTGTCAATTTTTTTATATTAATCTGGGAAAGAAAAAGTGGAGTTTGAATTTCAAAAATGTCTTAGCTTGCCGATGGATTCGTGAATATTACGATGATGTGCGATTAAAGTTCGAGTTTTTGGAATCATTTTCAAGTTGGGTCCTTTCTGATTTCAGTGGAGAATTTCTTACAGATCTCCGACTCTCTTTCTGTGCTTGGTTCAAATGTCCAAATGGAAACATATGCAGATAGTTTAATTTTGACAGTTCAAGCTAATGATCGAGACTTTTTTTCTTTTGTTTGTTTCTATGTTGATCTACCTCCTCTTTTTTGCTAGAATTGTTGTGTCGATGACGACTAAGTAATTAATTGCACATGTTTCAGTTGGACAAAAAACAAGCCTCGTTTTTGTCTCATGTAGACAAACTGAGATCCAAGAAGACAAGACCATGTAAGTATTATGAGATTTTAATAACAATTGTTGTTTGTTTTGGTTGTTAAAATATTACTAGACTCCCAGTTTGTTGATGAAATTTCTGTGACAGAATATCCCCCTCAAGACTCAGTCATGTATAGACCATTCATGACATGTGATGATCCAAAAGGGGTAGTTGAGTGTGGGGCTATAAGAAAATACAGGACCAGTTCTCAGAAAATGAAGGACAAGACAAAAACTAGGAGGCCGGCTGAGACATCATTGGCTAACAAACAAGACAAAGAGGAGAAGGTTTCAAAAGGATCCGCTGAAAGGTCTTTTGATCCATCATCCTTGCAGCTCATGGAAGTTTCTAGAGGAGCTCAAAGGTTGAACAACATGATTGATTCATGGTCTAGGGGTCTTATGTATGATGGAAGTTCTGAAGATATAGCAAAAGATTTGCTAAAAGGGGCTCTTGACCTGCAAGAATCTCTACTAATGCTGCGCAAGGTGCAAGAAGCTTCACAACACATGGCTACCTTGAAGAGAAGACAAAATGGGAAACCTGAAAGCAGCAGATTTGATGCAATGCCGGTTGATGGAACTGCACATTGTGATCACTTTGGTGAACAAAGTTATCAAATGGGGTTCCGAAGACGTTGGCCTTCAGCTGATGGTTCTTCAAGTAGCTGCCCTGAGGAGCTTAAGAAAGTGATTAAGGAGAGCCTGGTTAGTCAAAATTTGTTCAAAACCACTGAAGGGTTGGATTCATCATCCACATTCCACTCCACAAACTCAAGCCAATCTTCTGGGGCTTGGAATGATAAGCTTTCTGATTCTTCTTTCTCACCAACAACTTCGAGGAGGGAAAGACGATCCAATCTGGTTGCCAAGCTGATGGGTTTAGAAGAAGCCCCTTCAAGATCATTCCCAGCTGTTATACAGAAACAGCTGGAGAGTCCAAAGATTCTGAATCAGAAGAGACATGTATTTGACATAGATATGCCTAAGGTGAGAAAAAATGTTGAGAATGTTAGTCTGGAACGTAAGATGACCTTGAAGGAAATTCTTGAGACTACTCATTTCAATGGACTTTTGAAGAAGAGTCCTGTCAGAGAGCATAATGTTCATGTCCATCCTTCCTTTGATGCTCACTACAAACATGTTGGTGATTTACCTCCTATTGTACTTATGAAACCTCGATGTAGTCCATATCAGGAATGTGTGAACAGTTATGACCATGTTGTTCCTCCAGAAAAGTTATCCCTCAGAAATCTAAAAGCAAAAGTTGCCCCTTCCAAAGTGTTCCAACACAAGGAAGACTCAACCACCAACGTGGGGAGAAAAATGGAAGAACATTTATCCAAAAGGCTTACCAAAGAGGAAAGAACTAAGCTCGTCAGAGAGGTTGTGGAGTTGAAGGAGAAAGAAATCAAGCCTATTGAAAACGAGAAGGCTCCAGGAGGTAAGGTAAGACTGCCTAGTCATGTCAGTCACAAATCACATGTAAATGAAACTGTTGATAGAAAAGCTAAGGTGAAGACCATTGCCACTAGTAGAAAGCTTTCGGAAAAGGAGGTTTTAAAATCCAAACATCAACAACAAAATCTTATACCAGTAGTTGAGGTTTCGAAACCCAAATTTGTGACAAAATCCCAAGAAGATCAAGGAGAAATCAGCTCTACAAGTACCAAGATTAGGAAGCCACAAAGTGGCTCCCGAAGTGAAAAGAATGAGACTCCCAGCAGAAAGAGCACTGTTTCAAATTCAAATACCATATCAAAACCAAAGAGCCAAAAGATTACTTATTCCAAGGAACAGAATAAGAAACAGATGAAGAAGCAAAGGCCTGCTGTTGCTGAGCCTGAAGCAGCTAAACCAGTCGTAAGTTTATTTTTGCTCTCATCTTTTTGTCTCTCGCAAATCTAACAGTACTGTGTATCATCTCTTGGAAATTTGAGTATGGGATAGAAATCCATTAATGAAGCAAGGCCTTCAATCTGAATTCTAATTCGTTGTTTTTCTGAATAGGATCAACGGTTAGGCCAAGAAGAAGCAATGAGTGTTGCTGTTTCTCATAAAGATGATTGCCCTGAGATTAGAATAATAACTACAATAGCAGATGATCTTGCGATGGATCATGAAGAAGTATATGCATCTGCAAGTAAGATTAGAGGTAAATTTCTCTCAAGTTATCTTCACTGGTGCCACATTTCAGCAATTACATGTGAGAGGTTATGCATGTAATATTTTTGAAAAAGTTTGGATAACTGCCATATAAAGATAAAATAGCCATTGCACTGATACTGAATCATGAATTGACAAGTATAGTGAGTTCATGACTTTTACAATAAATACCTTAAAAGAGGATAGGCAGTTTCATCCCCTCATTTTCTTAAAACTATAAACAAACATATTAACTGTAGATCCACCAGTTATTTTTATTGACAGTGCATGGAAATTAAACTCTTATAAACCATAGGTTTCTTCATGAGTTTTGACATAATTTTTCTTTTATTACAGAAGTTTCTGAGCAAAACCAGAGTTCTTCTAGTGATGATTACTCTATGGTCAAGTCTGAACGTGAAAATGATATCATTCTTGCTGAGAAAGCTCATGACATCATCAATATCAGTGAAACAGATTACAAGGCTGACAAAGACAATTCTGAGCTTAAATATTTGCTTCTGACAAGTCAATCATTTATTGAGCATGCAGAGAAGTTCCTCAATCTTGATGTTGACTGTCCCAAGCTCCTACCAAAAAGTGAAACTAAGCGAATATCCAATCTCATACTCTTTTTGGACTGTGCAAATGAAGTCACTGAGCGTAAAAGCTTGCAGGGATCACAAGCAGTTAACCCTTTATTGCTAACTTGTGCGGGGAATCCAAGATTGCACATTTCTTTAGGGAGGTTGGTTGATGAAGTGTGTAGTGCCATTGAGCATCTAACATCTTACAGTGAAAAAGTGGCTTCAGATAATATATATGCAATGATGGAGAGAGATATAAAGGGAAACAATGGACTGATAAATGGAATATGGAACTGGGGTTGGAGGCATGGATTTTCTGCAGATGAAGCTGAGCAAGTTGTGAATGAAGTAGAGGACCTAGTTTTAGGTGGATTGATTGAAGAGATAATTGTAAATTTATGATTACATATATTTTGAGACCATGTATACAGCCTTTAGATATCAGCATCTTCAACTTGTATATAAAGGACTCATTGAATTGATACAAGAAAGAAGAGTTGAACACCTAGGCTGCAGAAAGTTGCATAATTTTGCTATGCTATGAATAACCTTTTCTTTTAGTATAGTATAATGATACTCCTGCCATTGGATTATTCTCTAATGTGTTCTTTGACCTTCCATGCTAATATCAAGCTATTGGAAAATGTGGAAAAGAAATGGAATTGTAGACACCAAACTCCATCACATTATTGTTTAGAGGAGAGTTATAAAGTTGGTTTAGTGATAAAAGTTGGAAGAAAATGAGAGATTATGAGTTTAACTTTTTCAACTGAGTTATAAGATTGGTTTGAAGGATTTTGAGAGGGAATTACCCAGATAAATGAAAAAAGAAATTACAAATAAGTATTAATGATATATGAATAATCATATTATTATCCATTAAAAAATATGGGTTTAATGTAAACCATTAATATAATTGCTTTGATGGTTTTATTATTGTAAATTACGGGTTTGTTGAGCAGATTATCTAAGCCCGTAATGTGGACCCAACATGAAGACTTTTTCTCTTGAAGCCCAATTTTTACTAACTATCGAAGACTAAAATAATATTAAATATGTTCTGGAAAGATTGTCTCAGAATTATTTTTTTTTTCGAAAAGCTTGATCCAAAATACATTTCCTGTATTTTGAAAGTTTGTTCCTAAAATCTATTTCGAAAATCTTATCCTTATTCTTGAAATCGTGTTATAAAAATTTTAAAAACTTTGTCCTGGAAGATTTCTGGAACACTGAATCCAGAAATCACTTTTACAAAGGATAAGGCAGTCATTTTGAAAATCATGAAGGTGTAGCTAGGAAATCATGGGGTTGAAAGAAGAAAAAACATGCAAGAATTTGCTCTTAAATATGGCCTATTTATCTTCACACCATAATACTTTCTTCTTACACCTCACACCTCCATAGGTATAGGAAAAGGCCAAATTGTCCATAGGTTGGAAAGGAAACATTCTGAATTTCACATTTCAAATTTACGTTTTGAATTGTGGAATTTAAAACTCAAAAATTATGTATTGCAGATTATACAATTTGAAAATGTATACAATCACAAGTCTAAAGGTTGTTTAAACTCTACTATTATAAATATCACAAACTTTAATTTTATCTTAATTGATACTTAAACTTTATCTTTTATACATACATTAATTTTGTTCAAATTAATTCTTAAACTTTACCCTTTTTTTTCAGTAAACACCTAAAATTTTAATTTATTACAATTACTTTCAAAACTTATAAACTTTTTATAAACATTTTTCTAATAAATGAGTTCAATAATAATAGTAGTAATCATAATCATAATATTAATAATCAAATATAAGCTCAACTCCAGAAACCAATTAATATCGATAAAATTTCAGAGCCTCATAAATTTGGAAAATGAACCGCATGAATAAAAAAGACAAAAAAGCCGGGAAATGCAAAAGTTTAAAGTAGATATAATCGCCAGCTACAATTTCTTCATCTCCAAAATCTGTTTAACACTCCTCTTAGAGACTAAGGCCCTTGCAATCTTAGGATTATTACTACTGCATCATCAATGAGTAAACATGAGATTACAACTAATGCTAGCGATCATCATCATTGATTAAACATAAGATTACAACTATATATCAGTGCCTAGCAAGGTTCATGACTCTCTGCAAACCATTGTGATCCTCACCATTCAAATTTTTTATTTTAAGATAAAAATGTGAAAGAATTATATGCAACAATATGTCCAGTGAATTGGATGATGGCTGCATGATACGCAATTTGATATTCAACTCTACCTAACCTGATTCCATCCTGGCAGCCAACTTAAGTGACTCTTGTCCATAGATAACTTTAGTGAGGTTGAAAATCAGAATCTTGAAAGCAAGAAAATTTACAAAGAAAAAGGCTTTAAAAATTGTAGTATTATGTCACTCAGAACTGGCAAGAGCTGATTGCAAAACATCTTCAAGATACTTCTCAGCATCAGCATACTGCCTTTTCTTATCCTCAATTGCTAAGGCAGCCAAAGCTTTATCCTGAAAAATCCCAACCAACAGAAATATACGAATAAACACAACATGGTTTTAATACAGTCAAAAAATATAACAAACAGAAAGGCTTGTAAATCACGAATACCGGAGGCAAATCTTGGTAACTCCTCAGAGTATCAAGGATGGGCTTAGTTTTCTTCTCTAGCTCCTTTCTATGCTCAGCCATTTCAACCAAAACCCTATGGCTAACCTCGGGGGTATAACCTGCATGATTCAGCACCGCCTGCACCAAATGTTATTCAGGGTGTAAAAGATAAGAATCCGAAGTATAAAAAAACATGATAATATCATACAGAGTAGAGTACGGGGGGCATAGTAGTAAGCCAAAAAACCACCATTAATATCCTAGGCTGCAGCCTATAACAAGAAAACGGGGACTATGATAAAAAATAATAACATCATGTACAGTAAGCCACTTATCAAGATCTTGTATACAGAAAAGTGTACTAAAGAAACTACACGGTATAATTAACCAAAACATTATAAGGTATACAGATAACAATCCATAAACATGAGAATAAATAAAATCTATCAAAAGAACACAAACTTAAGGCGCAATACATAAACATTAATGCATAAAAAAGGCTTTAATTCGTATGGGATAATTCTTTTTTTTCCATAATGAATAAAGTTATCTACTACATTTTGCGATTGCTCACATTCACATCCTTTTGTTTTCTCTATCTTTATGACTCGCACCCTAAATATAAATACACATCCAATATCATATACATTCCAACCATATATTTCAAAACTCAAAGGACTAATTTCTGAAGCCTTCATCTATCCACAAGAAGAAGAAACAACATACCTTGTAGTTGGCACATTGTTGCACGTACTGTCTTTCTTTTGCAGCCATTACTTGTAAATTTGTAGCCCAATTATCCATCTGAGCCTCACATGGAGCTACCTCATCTTCTAACTGAGCAAGTGTTCTGCACAAAAATTGGTTTGTGTAAACTTAACAAAATAACTGATAACAAACGAGAGTGATGCCAAAAGGCTGAATATACTATCTAGGGTGATATCATGCAATGCAACAAAGCACCTGCAATTACGTACCTACAATCTTCTGTAATATTGACTATTGCAATTTAAAACCCTGCTTTGACTCATTTGAAAATGTACCTTTTCAAATATGTTAGCCTGGCTATTGCCTTTCTAGTGTAATCAAGTAGAAGCTTGGATTCCTTGTTAACTTCAGCCCTTTTTTCCTCCACTCCAGTCTTCCTTAGGGAAATATCACCCATAGCTACAAGAAAGCTAAACACAGATTCCAGGGTGAATCCAAACTTCCAATATTGATACAAACAAAACAACAAAGGACAAACCAAACAAAACGCACCTACTCATTTCAGTATCTCTTATATTCAACAAGTTGGCCACATTTGCTAGAACTTGTGCTGATGTAACCACATTGGAGGGCAGGCTCTCCTGCGCTAAGCCCACATTCTCCAAAATCTCCCTAATCCTCGCAGCTGCAAATAATCATCATCATCACCAAAGGATTTAAAAATTGACTATGCTTAAATGTTACCAAGGCAGAAAGCTATAAACTTTCGGTAGGTTGATATAACTTATTCCATGCTTCGTAACTGCCTCAATAAGTTTATGTGATCTTTACCAAAATTATGATGTCGAGAACAAAACCAATACCAAAAACATCTATAAAGAATTTTCATTTTTTGGTGAAATAGAAAACAGAATTTGAAATCCAACTAAAATAGCATCGTGATCAAGCAATGTCTATGCTCAAATGATTTCTCAGTCTCAATAACTTCAGAATAATGATCCTCAGTCTGCAATATTAACCAAACTGTAACCACATTTCCCAGGAGAACATGTTCCGATATTGGAGGGCAAGCTGTCTCGCAACATACCCACGCTTTTCAAAATCTCCACAATCCTGGCAGCTGCAAGGTTTTAAATCCCAATGCGTAGCCACAATAGCAGCCAAATTTGCCGGCAACTTCAATAATCACGATCGTTTTGCGGATTGGGAAAAAAAATGAGGAACCTAGCCATAACCCTAACTAGAAACAAATCATCATCACCATAGTTTCCACAATCCGTGGCTATGGCATCACAGCTTAGCCTGTCCAATTTCAGTAGTACGTAATATTCCACAATTGAAAACCACCGTCGTTTTGACGACAGAAAGCGTGCGAAACCCTAACCCTAAGAGTGACTGACCTTGGGATCGGTACTCGGAGGCCTTGAGGCGGAAATCACGAGCTACAAGGCGCGCGGCCTCGTCTTTGGCTTTAGAAAGAGTGATGAGATGGTGCAAATGCGAGACGCTGCGCGGTGTGTATTCGAATTCCGGAACGGGTTTCCCAACGCCTTCGAACGTCTTCGCAAGCCATTCCTTCACTTCCGCCACAGCCTCTTTCTCGCTCATTCTTCTCTGAAACACATAAGCACACACTCGATTTCAGATCAAGTCCAATGAATCAAAACCACAATTGAGTGCAACATATTTCAAATCTCTTCATGTGAACAAAACAAGAAAAAGAAAACAAAATCGTTACCTTCTTCTGAATCTAATGAATCAATTCTTCTCACTGCTAACGCTTTCTACTTTCCTCGTTTCAGTGGCGCGTGATTACGGATAAATTCTCCTGTATAATTTGAATTTATTTCGAACAGCATTGCAATAAAGCTTTTTCTTCTTTTTTTTTAACGCTAGTTGATTTGTTACTCTAAATAAAAATACATTTTCCGCGACAGAAACTTGAAAATGCAGTATTTCTGTTTTGTTTTTTATTTATTTTTTAGGATCGAAAAATGTCGTGGAAAGTGAAACTTGTATGAACTGTGACTACGTGAAAATGGAGAAATTAATTGATATTTAAATGAATTATTGTTCTTTATAAATTAAAAATTTTAAATAATGTAATATAGTCAAAATAAAAATCAAGTGACATGTAAAAAGTAATATTTTTAGGTGAAATATGTAACTAATACTAAATATAAGTAATAGTTTAATTATTTATAGTATCTTACATGATTATGATTCATCTTGTTGTTTATATATAATATAAGTCTTCACACTTTAAGAATAATAAGATATTATCCATTTTATATTAAATCTTTACGAATTTACTTTTATACCACTCTAAAAAATCTTCTATTAAATAGAAATATATATATATATATATATATATATATATATATATATAAACTCATATCTTCTTATACGAGACTTTGTTTATATCCTAGAATCTGAAATTTTTTTCCAAAATCTGTAACTTTTATTCCAAAAATCAAGCAGGTCTTCCCTTGTTATGAAACATGTCCTGTGAAAGCTAAACTTCTATACAACAAATCTGTAAGTAACATATCTGCCAGCTGTTTCACTTGGCCGTATAATCTTGACAACCTGACCTCGCTTCAATCCATAGTATCTTGCAACAGGATCAGTCACCTGAACCCTAGGTAGCTGGGATCCACCCCGGAAATTTACAAATAAAGCACCATGTCAGTGTCAACAGAAGAATTGTAGAACAAAGTGAAGACAGTGATCAACCTGGGTTTCTTTCACAGTGTATCTCTCAACCAAAGTTTTCTTCTCTGCCTCAGTGAGAATCTGATGTTCAGGGACAAGCTCATGATCTTTAATGTTCACCAACAGCTCTGCCTCCTGAATCAACACTCTATCATAAAACTCACATTCACAATGCACAAAATCAAAATTAAATAAAAAAAAATGTTCCATTACAGTAGTATATCTAGAAGCTATGCAAGTTATTTCCTATACATTTTAGTAAGTTTCTCTATACTTCAACAATCTTTACATTTTAGTGTCTAATGACAGAACACCTAGAAACCACCACGTTATTATGCAGTGGATAGCGTTTCAACTATACATCAACATGAAGTACTCTTTGCTTCATTTCAAGCTGAAAACCTCCTCCCATATTCCAACCCATTTTCAGTAATTTTACTTAACTTTTTAGCAAATCCCAAAACATAGAAAGCACCTTGTCCTTTTCCAACACACACTTTCAATAGGTTGCTCCATAGTTCATCAGCACGAAAATGCTGATCACGAATAACCCTGAGTTCACTTAAAAAACCACATCAGATGGAAGCAGAACAAACAATTACAGGCAAATCTCTGTTTGAATAACAAGTCAAACGTGATTTCGAGAATTTCTCTTTTTACAGAAAAAAAAAAGGTTATATTTCCATTAAAGTTCTCATAAGCATTTTCAACTTGTATCCAATCATATCTCTCTCCCTGAAAGACCACACATTGTTCATTTCAACACAAACACCAACCCTTTAGAACTTAGAGTAATCCTGCCAATAGGAAAAGACCCTTTAAGTTCTCCATTTCAAATTCCTACAGTTCTGACTTTCTCCATTTCATGTTACGTCATTCAAGATTTTCTCACACGTATTAACAAACAAGGCAATAGAATTTTTTTCATAAAACGTACGTACATTCTTCTTTATTGCATTGTTCATGATTATTGCACTCAGAGAAGGGGAAGGCAACCTGAAAAACCTCCAAGTGAAACTTGGAGGAGATTTCACTGATGCAGGTTCTGGCGAAGGGGGTGAGGCTGGTCTGAGTGACGAGAATGGCTCTGTAGACGTTTTCGGAGTTCATGCGGTTAGTGTAAGTCTTCATGGTTTTAACACCGACCTTGGCCTCCTCCGGGAAGAAGATGTAGATCTGGTCGCCGGAGTTATCCTTCTTGGACTTGTTGATGACGAGGTCCTCACGCTTCATGTGCTCGCCGTACTTAGATTTGAACTGGTGCTTGGACATGTTGATTTCGAAGTCTCCCACAAGGTACCCTCTGTCCCTCAGCATCTGCATCACCGTCTTCCTGATTCGGAACAGCCTCGAAACTTCTTCCTCGGAAAGCACCATCGCCTTCACTTTGCTTTCCCTCCCAGATTTTGTTCTTCTTGATTACCTTTCTTCGTTTGCCCTAAAGTTTGCTCTTTTATGCTGTGATTGTACCAAATGATTCACTCTGAGAAGATTTAGAAGTGCGGATTTTAACCTTTTTTTGTATTCCATGGTTACCACTGAAATGCGCGGATTGAGAGGAGGAGAGGTTCAGAATGTTGACCACCTCACCCATGACCGAAAAAGAAGAAATAAAAACACATAATTAAATAATAAAAGAATAATAATAGGGTATATATATTTATATTCATTTGATATATATATAAAAAAATTTACTTTTTTAGAAAAAAAAATATTATTGTACCAAATGTAAAAAATTTGTGTGTATCAACATATTTGTAGAATAAAAATTAAGTGTTTGTTTATCACCCCGTCAATGTATAATTTTTTTGTGAAAAGTTTATTCTTATGGTTTAAAATTTTCTTGTAAGAGCCTGAAAAATGAAAGGCTATTGGGTCTTATGTTGAGGCAGTCTGGCTCAAAGAGCTAAGAGCACAATGACCTTAGAAAGAGATCTCATTTTTCCAGCTCTGAGTTGATCATCCAGTTCATCTTTCTTTCTCTAAACTCAGCTTTCTTCTTCCTTCTTGCTCTGCCTTCTCTTTACCCTTGCACTCATTTGAACCGTTGAAATTTCAAATAGGTGGTGTTCTTTCGCTCACGGAGTTGAGAGCTTCCCTTCTATCCGATTAGATTTATATTTGGACGGGTAAGTCAATTTCTCCACTCTTCTTGAACCTAGGGCATGCAACTTTACTGCTTGCATGCAACTAGTGGTGCTCCTTTTTTATTCTCTGCCTATTCTAGCTCTAAGAGTTGTTTTCATCACAATTTAGGTGGTTGTAGGGCACTGTTTGGGTTCTCTCTGTGAAGGCACGGTTAGGGCACTCTAGTTGGCTATACTGCTCAACTTCAAGGTAAGGGGAGCTAGTTATGTTTTGTTTGGACTATACAGTGTGTATGCTTGATAATTCGTAATTTATTACTGTTGAGTTGTATTTTGTGGTAAGCATGTTGATTTGTATCTGCTGGATGTGTGGAAGTTGTGTATCCATGGTGTACTGAACCTTGTTTGACTTGGATGAGTGTGTGTTGGCTGTACTGGATTTCTGGAATTGAGTAAAAACTCTATAAAATAGTTAAAATGGATAGTGAGTGGGTACAGGTACTGTTTTAGGCTACTGTGAGGGAAGCGGAGTATGGAAATTGGATAATGGGGGTCTAGAGTACCATAGGACAGTTTGGGAAATTTAGATAAATTAACTGTAAATTATGATAGCACCTTGTTGGTAGGATAGAGGAACCTTAAAAACCTGAGTTGGCACATTCCTGATCATAGAGCAGCCCTGGCCTGGTCCAGTCAGTTGTGACTAGTCATATGTGCTGGCGTCGAAGGTGAGTTTGATGCGTTCAGACATTGGGTTCTTCTCTGGTGACCAATTGGGCAGTTGGGTTAGTTTAGATGAGTTAATGGAACTGGTTTGGAGCCTAAAACTGAGTAAAATCATGTTGAATGTGGTAGAATTGAAATTGGGTTCTTGGGTTAATGAAAGTGGAGTTTTAAGTTAAATCTGAGTATTGTTCACCTTAGAACCATGTTAATACAGTATTGTAATCAGCTAGACAAGTTCAATTAGGTACACAACTTGAATTAGAAGCCTTAGAAGTTAGCCAAGAGTCCTAGAAATGGTAAGGATTAGTGTGAGTGTGTGATTCTGTAGAATTCGCGTTCTGCAGATTATGCAGTGTCGCTATGCGAGTTGTCTCGCATAGCGAGACCCTGTAGAGGGTGCTCACTGTCTTGGTAATTCGATGTGCGAGCTGGTGCGCTGTGCGAATTACCAGAGGGTGATGCTCACTGTTTATGGACTCGCCATGGCGAATCTTGTCGCTATGTGACTGGTGGTGGTATGGGATCACTGCCCATTTAATTCGAAGGGCGAGTGAGGTGCATAGCGAGAACTTTAGGGAGGTTGGTCTTTGTCTGGGTTCTCGCATAACGACCTGGGTGCGCTATGCGAGAGGTTTGAAGTGTGATGTATGTTGTGACTTAATTCGCTATGCGAACTAAGGTGTGCGCTGTGCGAGATCCTCCTGTCTCGCCTTGCGAGTAGGATGCGCTGTGCGAATTCTTTTGGGTCAAGCCTTTTCTTTTGCTCTCTCTTGATTGATTCTAGTGTGTGAAGTGTTTGGGATGCATAAAATGATATGATCATGTGATTTATATGGGAAGTGTGTGAATGTATGAGATGTGTATGGATTCACTGTGATAATATGATGGTATCTGGATATTCATGTATGGGTTAAGTTTCAAAGTAACAGTACGATTCATGAACGTAATTCCATGATCCTCAAGGAGAGGATACATGGTGGTGCTCTGGTGGTGTGTAGAATGATTGCATGATAGTTCAGTCTTGGGGTTTTCCTGACACTCCAATGGTCTTTCATTCTCAAGTAGAGAGGATTGATCCATGTGGTGAGGAGTAGCAGGAGGTCCTAGTCTTGGAGGCTTCCAGTATGCTCCAGGGCGTGGAACGGACTAACCTCGTGAGTGTGGTAGGGTGGAATCCATTGGCAATTTGCAAAGCAGTAGAGGCCACCACGAGTGCATAACCCGCCATAGCTCGGTAATCATTCTGGTCTGGACGAGTCGGTTTATAAAGTAACGAGTCTTGTGATGTCATTTTACCATGTTTGAGTGACTTTTGCATGTCGTATGTGAATGGATAACATGATTTTATATCTAGCTCACCCTTGCTTGTTTGTATTGCTTGTGTATGTTTCTTTTGCGATGATCATCCACTTGGGTGGGAGCAGATGGAGAGGAGGTTCTTTTGGAGACAACTTTGGAAGTTGAGGACAATGCTGCTGCCTAGTCTCCTGTGGTGTTATTAGTTATTCGTGTAATTTGGAATACTGTTTCCTTCCAGCTTATATTTTAGATCTCTTTGAAGTTTAAGTTTAAATTCTGAAGCTATTTTGAGGATGACAGTAATTCTTAATTTCTCTTGATTGTTTTCCTATATTATGCAATGATGACGTCTTTATTATACATGCATGTCGTATATTTTGGAGATGTCACATTTCTAATCTCAAATAGTTATAATATTACTTTCATGAAAAAAATTATAGTCTTTTTTTTCAATTTGTTGTAAACATTAATTTTTTATTTTTTTCTACTATATTAACCATATTATTTATTACTTTTTATTTATTTCCCTTTCGGTAATAACTTCACCTTTTTTCTTTTCTTCCCTTTTCACCTCATTCTTATCTAAACAGAGTAGAATTTCAATCCAAAAACCTAAATGAAAAAAAAAAGGATTAAATTTATATTACATTAAATAGTTTCTGCAAAATATTATATACATTAATTATTAATTTTAATTTATAGGATATTAAAAAAAAAGCCACGAAAAAATCAAACCACTAAAACATACGTGTCAAACTGAAAACGAAGACAAATTTATATTTATATTTTGAAAACTTGACCATTATAATGTCATACTAATTTGGAACAATAATGTAATAAGAAAAGTCAAGGAATATAGTTTTATTAGCATGTGAATTATTACAAAGTTTTAGTACGTGTTCAATTTCTAAAACTTACAGCAATAAGAATGATATTTCTAAAAATAGCGTATTACGAAAATTAAATTTAAAAATATTTATTTAATATTTAAAGGGGGTTTTGGTAAAGTCTTTTACTTCTAGAAATTAACTAAATAGCTTGAATGATTGTTGACATCAAATTTGTACATGGCAACCAGGTCAAACATAGTACAATTCTAATCCTTTTAATACAGATTTATTTATTTTTTAATATATATTTATTTATTTTTAATACAGAGTAGTGTGACTTGGAAACACAGAGTCATAAACTGGAATATTCAAAGACAGATAGAATTAAAATATATTTTAGGAAAATAAAATTATAATAGAAAAATTAGAAAAGGAAGCGAAGACCAAATGTGAATTACAGCTTTGGACTCTCCGAAGAACGCAAGGAAGAACGGAGAGTTTCAGAAACTTCAGAAAGGTTTTTGCGTTTTGAGTTACCAAACGCCGTCGTTTAATGGGCGATGACAAATCCTCCATGGCCGTCACCACTAGAGACAGAGATCGAGAGCTTCTCATCCCCGTCGCCGACACCGCCGTCGCCGCCGCCTCACTTTCCCCCAAGCCACCCTCGTCGTCGTCCGCGCATCATGCTGGACGCGAGGTGATCTCTTTCTTCACTGTTTTCCATTTAGGGTTTTTAATTCGCCACTCGTTTCCCCTTTTTTATGCAATTCGCTCAACCTGGACTGTTTTGAATGTGTTGGGTTGGGGGATTTACTTTAAAGTTTTTACTTTGACTTGAATTGTGCTTTTTTGGGGACGAACCAGTTAGGCATTGAGGAGTTAATAGTGTCTTGTCGAGAGCAGTGTGTGGCTTCAAGAGAATGAAGATTTAAGTGAATGATAGTCCGAGTTTGTTTCATGAATCATCGAATTGTATTCAAACTGAAAAGTGATAGCAAAATTGTAATAAAGTGAAGCCATCTAGTCCTAACTATTACACCTAAGTAGAAAGAAATTTAGGTGCATGTATTGGGTGTAAATATTCATTTTTGTTTTCGTGGTTTTGAATACCAGAGAAGAGTCATAGGTTGCATACGATAATTTGCTATACCTTCTTAACTATTTATCTGACAGATTGCTCTTTTTTCCTGTTTCTGTCATTTGTAGACTTTTTTCAAAGTTATTAGAAGCTGGGCATCAAAAAAGTTCATGACAGGATGGTGCGTGATTCTTCTGTCCATCATCTTGATATTTAATCATTGATACATGAGATGTATTGCATTTTCCTACACATGATACTGTTTATGCTTTCTGAATGAATTTGCCTCGTGCATTCCTTGCATTCTTTGAGATGCTGGTTTATTTTCATAATTTTTTATCTTCACTTTATTTCTACATGCATATTTTCTATTTTTTATGTTGTATCGCAAAAGGAAAATTACAGAGCATAATAGTTGATTTCTG